ATTCCCATTTTCACATTTTTATCATAATTAACCAGAAGCAAAATTTTAAGTACAGAGCCTATGCTAGAGGGAGAGGTGGCAGTTTGAGGGGGAAATGGTAAAGCGGCCCAGTGAGCTATGGCAGAGAATTATTGGTACTTTGGCAGTGTGAGAAACATACATGCGGACAAGTGTGACCCTACTCCCCTAAAGCCTAGTCAGTGCTATAAACCAATGTTAGCGCGTGTAAAAAAAATTCCAAAGCCTCTGAATGCGTTTTAGTATAACACTATACTGCCTTCCTCTGGACATACTTTATATCTCTGTGGCTATCTTTTAAAAATATAGTCAGTTACAGTTCCTTTATGTGAAAAACAAAGTGGTAAAAGAACTCTCTATCCACCACTTTGTCCCTACTAAACTGTGCCTCCTGCTTTGTTGCCAGCCCAAGTAATTCTGAAAGGGGTCACTAGTGGCAGGGAAGCAGAGTGACTGCAGTGTGGCTTCAACAAGTCTGTTTCAGTTTTCAAGTGCACAGTGCTATCACTGGCCTGCTATTCTGATTGCAGGGTTTTAAACAGACTCAGTGATCAGCTCTTTCCACTCGTCAGGTTTGAGAACTTACTGCACCACTACATAAGGCAATTAAGAACTTATCAGTGTTTTCCATTATGGATCTGTTTTAATAATCATATTTCTCATTAAATGCATTCTAAGTTAAGCTCCTGTTGGCTTCTACACTCAAAAGAAGCATGCACTAGTTTCCACATATGAAGTAGCTTGCAGTGTGTGTGTGTGTGTGAGAGAGAGAGAGAAAGATCATCTGTTACAACTGTATGCTTTGTGGTTTCTTCTCTGCTAGTTGCTTTATATTTCATGATGTAATCACAATTAGTATATTTCCATCTCCCTTCTTGTACTGATGGTGAAATTGAGGCCCTGAAAATGTTGAAATGATTCACTCAAATTACCGGAGCAGTAATTTGAACCCAGATAATCTTACACCAATATCCTTGAACCTAACGACCACACTCCTTACAAAGACTATTTACTAGAATGCTTCTAATACAGTTACAGATGTAGATGTAGACTTAGATATAGGTATAAATATTAGATGCATTTTAGAAGTGTAACCTGAGCAGCATGTGGGAGCTAAATACCATACTTACCTGTATTCTTGTTGGGCAATTTAGTCCCCAGTTTTATCTTTTAACTCTTTAACAAGTATGTGTATTTCATTGTAATCACCTGAGATGCTTCAAGAACCTTAGGTGACAGAACCAAGATTCTAACATTACAGTCAAGATATTTGTTTTATGGATAAGATGCTTTTGGGGTCTACTTGTACAGGAGTCTTCAGGAGACATTAACAGAAAAGACTGCCAGATCACTGTTGACTGATTCATCATCTTGGCCCAGTGCAGACTTTTAACCCAGTGGGCCTGACAGCAAACAGGGCAGTGTGCCATATGCTAGGGAATGTACAGGCAGAAGTGCAAGTGCTGGAAAAGGTTTGTGATAAAATATTGTAGATTATCAAACCGCATAAAGACTACACTCATGTGGAAGCACTGAGCATAATTATAATCTGCATAATGAAGAGATACCAGCATTTCATACTTCTCAAACCTTTGAAGCAACATAGTCTGAAATCCTAACTCAAGGAGCTCCACAGGGAGCTAATCTATTTATATACATATATATATTAAAAGACATCTCAAACCTCAACTGCGCTATTAACTAGAGTGATGATTCATTCATGCTCATACAGTAGTAATGATCCTCAGATTTATAAATGTGTACAGCAGTGTCAGATCTTAATCTGAAGGAAGCATGTATTATTTGATTTTCTTTCAGAATATTCTTCCCTGTTCAAGTGATTCATGCTGTAACCCTCACAGTGCATGTGTGTAACACATGTCTTAATTTAAAAAGAAGGTAATGGCTTTTGCTGATGAAAGACATTCCAACATTTCCCTTTAAAACGTTTAAAACATACTATTTGTCCAAATACAGAGATGAACCTGCATGCACATATCTACCTCCCTACCACAAGATCACCTCTCTGTCAAGAGGTCACCTGGACTTTAAATGGAAGAAGTTTTATTCTGAATAGCATGATCACTGGGCCACAAATATGGTAAAATGAAATTATTCTTTTTTATTTGTAGATTAAGGTGAAGACAGCCCCAATTCAGGAATGTACTTCTTTTGTCGAAATTAATAACATAGTATTGTTGAATTCATAATTTCCAAAACTATTTCCAAAGATATGAACAGAGATATGAAACTATTTCCAAAGATTTCATGGCAGAATGTCCCTATCACAAAAACAAGTCCCTTCAAAAGTTTATCTTCTAAGACAAATGGACAGCCAGTTTTTTTCTTTAATTCTATAGAAGTAAAAAAAAAAAAAAAAAGTCAATGTTTTCCCTTGCTGAAAGTAATGAAATCCAATGAAAGCTAGGAAGTCTCTCCCAGAAAAATATTCCTGTCATATAGCAACAGAATTTTGCAAGGAGTTTCAAAGGTGTTGACACCGTGGATCCTAATAAAAACCATATATCTGCCATTGCTTGACATATAAGAGGACTTTGGTATACAATTTTCTCAACTTCACATTTCTGAGTTCTTCAGACTGTGAAGATCTGTTACAGATTACTTTAAAAGTTGTTTTCTTTCCAACTACACCTCCCCAATTTCTTGCTTTCACTTTAGTCCATCTAATCTGTATCTTAAACAGTCATGAGTCCTTGTTCAGTCTATCCCCATCAAAGCAATTCTCCAGCATTTTCATCAGGGCTTATCAGTTGAAGCAGTAAAAGGGGGTAGAGGAGTAAAAGGGCTAGAACTCAGGATGACAAACACAAGAAGCAGGGAATTTGGGCAGAAATGTCATATGCAGATCGTTTCCCCACTACAATATTAACTACGCAAGCCTGAACGTGGCAGTAAATAGTCTCAAAACAAAGCTATTAAGATTTGTACTAATTTACAGTTCTCCTAATCCTAACCAAATACTTGTTTTGGACTCATTTGTAAACGGCACTTCAATAATACAATTTCACAATGATTTTCAAACTATAAAGGGCTATTAAGAATAAGACAGTATCGTGCTGGACTATGATATTATTTGATGTGATATTTTTAAAAGTTGCACCTCATCACGTTCTTTGTGTGAAGTATCAGCCCAATGGGTAAACAGATCAGTTGGTTTTTGTTTGTTTTTTTTTTTCCTTTCTTCTTGTAGTCCACCTAACAGTTGTACATTTTTTCTGGTTTATAGCATAACCCCTTTGCTTTCTACTTTTACACTAAATCCTCAGCTATTCATTACTTAATTTTATGTGATTTCACAAATGACTTTCAATATTTAGTATCATCAGCACCACCTCCTTCAGTACGGCAGCATATGTTAACAAAACCCAGGGCAAATATTTTTAAATGAAGATACATTCTTAGGATACCATAAGGACAAGTTCCTATTTTCAACTTCACTAACAATCACTTAGATCTCTAATAAAAGTATTACTGTTTGGAAAATGAGAATAAGGACAGCTAAGTTCTTTGTGAACAGGGCAGACTCACCTTTGTGGAATTTGGTGTTTTCTGTAACAATGGTTTAAATTGTTATATTCTAATGTTATGATGAGTGAGTCTATTTTTAAATACAATCTAAAAGAAGAAAACTACTTAATAGTAAAAGTGAAATATTGAAGTATTTGTTTTATGCTCTTAAAAATATTGTTGGCATTGCAAGGTGAATTTTTGCAGTCATATGATGTTGATAACTAACATTGATTTTAAGAGTACATTTTATAAGCAGAAAACACAGGATACAAAGGTTCAAGGTGCACAAATGCTGCTGAGGCAGCATGACGGAATTAGATTCCTTTTAGATAGTGTTCAGTGGAAGGCGTGTGCATATGCAGGGCTTAAAGAAATTCGAAACAGAGAGACAGATTTTTAATTCAGAATGCCAACAGACATCATTGGGTATTTGAAACATGGCTTACGGTGTTCTCTGTAGAAGCTTTCATCACCATTCAGACTTTCTCCTTTCTTGTATATGTGCACTAGTATGTTTTTGATAGACAAGTCGTAGAAATTAATAGCAAATGATAGAGCAATTGTTCTCTTTAAGAGGGAGAAGCATTTGATACAAAGAAAAATAGTGAGGGCATGACTAAAATTCAAGGCTATTATATTTTAGCTATAATTTTTATTAAGGCTTCTTATATTTGTCGTGTCAAATTAGCATCACTAATGATAAGAAATTCAAGTCTTTAGTGGTTCTTCTGATGTAGGTTTTGTTGTTGTTTTTCGAGCTTCATTTTTCTTGCAGACCCTAGTGAATTCTTCAATTTCTTTTTCTGTGCCTCTCTTAAACTTTAAAACCATTTAATATTATAGCAATAAAACCCTATAAAAAGAAACTAAAGAGTAGTCATTTGTCTACATAGAAAAATATATTAACAAGAAAAATGATATTGATAGATTTTTTGTAAGCAATTACAACACCAAGAAGTTACGAGACCATGGTGAAGAACAGACTAGTTAAATTGCAGAAGTCAAACAAAGCAAGACACCTTTCTTTACTGATGTACCATCTACTGAAAATTAGTAGATGTTAGTCTTAAGTAGCTAACAGTGAACCCCAGGTAATAACTTCCCTGAAGCACTGAAATAGAAAATGGCAAAAAGAATCTTGTAAAAGAAACCCTCAGGGATTCCTCCTTTTTCCCCCTGTGATTCTTTAATCCTTGAATTGTCAAACCATGTGGAAAATAATAGAGCTGCATAGGTCTAAGGCTTACATGGTATTACCTTTTTAAAAGAAAATATTAGGTCTTTTCACATTTCTGGACAAGAATAGAGCATGTGTTCAGAGTAACTTTGAACAGGAGATGCATTTTGCTTTTTCATTTTCAAGGTAATATAATTATTATCTATGACTAAGCAGGCTGCACCCCATAGGAAAAATATTATAGTCAATATTTTATTTTCCTTTTTTTAAACAGATGATTCAACGAGAAGCAGATGTAAAAAGTAAGGTAACTGCTGTGGCGTTGACAGACTCTGTTCACAATGTGTGGCATCAAGAAGCTGGCAAAACTATTCGAGAATGGATGAGAGAGGTGAGACTGGATTTTTTTTTATGCTGAGATGAATGAGTGTGAGCCTTTATATCTTGAGCCCCCACCAGCTTATAACACCTCCCAATCCCAAACTTCCTTTCTAAAGCCAGAAAATTTAAGGGAAATAGAAAAACTGCATATGGTTAAAATAATAATAGAAAACTCTTCTGGAGAACAAATACTTTTTTTTGAAGCTCTCCTACCACCTGTTTTCTGACTTTCTGTGTAATATTATGTTTGCATTCAGTGTACAGTAGGCACTCTAACTGCAGGTTATGATCTATGAGATTATTCCCTAGTAGTTAACTTGTCTACCAGCTATTTAGCATTAGAGCACCTTAATTACAAGGAAAAATATAGGTAGTCTCATCCTTTTCTTGAACAGTGGTCAGTATATGCCATTCTTCAGTGGATTAGCCCCTTATTACCAGTGGAAGCAGAAGAAATAAAAAGCTTAAGTAGTGTTTTGCTACTTATTATGGGAGAATCCCAGAAGCTAGTCATAGTCCAGCCCTCTACCTTTTTTTTTTTTTTTAACATTCAGTCCATTAGTTCCTCTATCCCATAGAAATATTCAGATGAAATTACTCTTTTCTTGAAATTAAGGTAATTTAATAATATCCTGAGCAATGAGACTTTTCCTGTTGTAAAATGAAGTGATTAAAAAAAAATGTCATTTTACTTTTGTTATAGCCCACAAAGGCCAACCAAATCTTCCTTAGTATTTCACATGGTTTTTTTTTTAATTTCTTTCTTATTTATGTTTACCTTTCTGAAATTATAACCAAGTGACATCATTTGGTCTATCCTAAAGAATGTTCCATGTGCCCTGGGAATAATATATACTCCACTTTTTTGATATGTAGCACCTTCTAAATGTCCTTTATCCCATGTAATGTAGTCTAATTGCTCATTTAAAGCTGCTGTTTCTTTGTTTATTCTGTCTGGTTGCTGTGTCCATCAAGGAAAGTAGAATTTTGAAGTCCCTTCCTACTATTGTCCTTCTATCAATATCTTTTTTTATAGATGTGTTAGTAGTTGCTTTATATACTTTTATGTATCTTCATTTGATGCATATATATATCAGTGGATACTATGTCTTCCTGGTAGACTGATCACTTACCTTCATGTGCACATTGTCCTTCCCTGTCTCATGTTAACTTTCCTAGCTAGACTTCTAGTTTACTTATGTAAGCACTGTTGTCTCTGCCTTTTTTAAGGGTCCACTTGTTTGTAAGGTTGTTTTCCAACAATCTGTTTTGAATCTGTACTTCGCTTTAATGCTCAAATGGGTCTTTTGGAGATAGCAGAACATTGAGTTTTGTATTTTGATCCATCTAGCTAGCCACTCTGTACTTTCTGATTGTTAAGTTCACTCCATATACATTGAGCTATTATTTATCTATCTTTTCATTTATATGCTTTTTTTTAAGCTGTAACAAATGTCTTACATCATTCTTCATTTCGTATATTTTTTCATCTCTGTTGTATCCCCGTGGACTTCCCACTACCCATTTAACCATGTGTTGTCACCATAGTCCCGTGTGCTCTTTTCACCCCAGTTTTGATCCTATTCCCCTCTCCACCCCCATAGAATGTCTCTGGTCTATAGTTGTTGATTTTCGTTTTTACTTTTATTACATTGTCATTCTCCTCTCAGGTGTAATCCCCATAAAATTATCACCACCGAAATACCTGTGGTATCATCACTATAGTCTCCATTTCTTTTTGCTCCCATAATTGGTCTCTCTCCTCCCATCTCCCCAGCTGAATGTTTCCAATGTATAGTATAAATGCCATTTTTGTCTTTTTTCCCCCTGAACCCTTGTTTGTTTTCCCTCTGTCCCTCTTTTAAGTGAAACCATCCAATATTTTTCTCTTCCCTTCTGACTTATTTCACTGAGCATAGTTCCTTCTAGCTCTATGCATGTTGCTGCAAATGGCATGAGTTTATCCTTTTTGATTGCTAGATAGTATTCCACTGTGTACACATACCACATCTTTTTGATCCAGTCATGTTTTTGGATATTTAGGTTGTTTTCCATATACTAACTATTGTACATAGTACTATAGTAAAAATAGGAATCAGGTTTTAATTTGAGTTAATGTTTTTTGTGATCTTTAGGGAGATTCCTAAAAGTAGAATTGCTAGGTCATATGATAGCTCCATTTTTAGAAATTTGAGGGCCCTCCACACAGCTTCCATGGTGGTTAGACCATTTTGCATTCCCACCAGCAGCTGAAAATTCCTTTTCCTCCACATCTTCACCAGCATTTGTTGTTGCTGTTTTTAATTTGTGCCGTTCTCACTGGTTTGAAATGTTTTCTTGTGGTTTTGCTTTGCATTTTCCATTATAAATGATGTTAATGTTTTTTCATATACCTATTGGCCATTCGTAGTTGCTCTTTGGAGAAATGTCTTTTTAGCTCTTCTATTGTTTGACTGGATTGTTTGTTTTTGTCGAGTCTTTTGAGCTCTTTATATATCTTGGAAATCAATCCCTTATCAGTTGTGTAGAATGTAAATATTTTTTCCCAAATAGTAGGGTATCTCTTTGTTTTGGTTATTATCTCCTTTGCTGTATAGAGAAGCTTTTTAGTTAGATGCAATCCCAGTTGTTTGTCTTTCCTTCACTTTCTTTCTTCAGGGGATAAGTCTGTAAAGAGATGTATGTCATAGATTGTTTTTTCTGTATTTTCTTCTGTATACTTTATGTTCAAGCCTTTTGTCCATTTTGAGTTGGCTTTTGTGCATGGTATGAGGTAGTAATTGAGTTCCATTTTTTGCATGCGATGGTCCAGTTTTCCTAGCACCATTTATTGAACAGACTGTCCTTGTCCCTTTGTATATTCTTTACAACTTTGTCAGATAAGTTGTCCACATATATGTGGCTTTATTTCTGGGTTTACAATTTGATTCTATTGGTCTGTGTGTCTATGTTTGTTCTAGTACTATACTGCTTTAATTATTGTGGCTTTGTAGTGTAGTTTGAAGTCTGGGAGTGTGGCAACTCCATTCTTCTCCTTTTTTTAGTTGGGAGAGCTTTGTCTATTTTTGAAATTCCATCAATATTTATTCTATTTCCTTGAAGAATGCCATTGAGATTTTTATCAGAATTGCACTGAATCTGTAAATTGCCATTTGGACAATGGTAATTATTCCAGTCTATGAGCAGGGACATACCTCTCCATTTCTTTGTGTCTTCTTTTATTTCTTTAACAATACTTTGTAAGATTCTTTGTCTAATTCTTTCACTTTGTTAGTTTTATTCCCAAGTGTTTTTTCATTTTTTTGGTTTTTTTTCTTTTTTGGTCCAATTGTAAATGGTTTTTAAAATTTCTTCTTCAGACTGGTTGCATATAGGAAGGCTACTGATTTTTGTATGTATATGGTGTATCCTGCCACTTTTCTAAACTGGTTTATTATTTAAATTATTTTTTCTGTAACGTGCTTAGGGTTCTCCAAGTATATAATCAGATCATTTGCAAATAGTCCATTTTTACTCCTTTCCCTACTTGGATTCCTTATAAATCTTTATCTTATCTTATTGTTCTGGCTAGGACTTGTAATATTATATTGAAAAGTTGTGGTGAGAGTGGACATCCTTGTTTTATTCCCAATCTTAAAGGGAAGGCTTTCAGTTTTTCACCAGTAAGAATGATATTGAGATGGCACACAGGTGATTTGGTGATGGAAAGACCATGGGGATTACAACTGAGATGGAAAAAGGCACAAAATGATATAAACATAAACTATTATGTTTTTTAAAAAGAATGATATTGATATGATCATGTGAATTTTATTTTTATTTTTGTTGATGTGTTGAATTATGTTAATTGATTATTGACTGTTGAAACATCCTTGTGCCCCTGGAGTGAATGCCATTTGGTCATCTTTTGATGCATTGTTAATTCTGTTTGCTAGGATATTATGAAGGATTTTTGCATCTGTGTTCATTAGTGAGATTGGCCTGTAGTTTTCTTTTTGTATGTTGTCTTTATTTGGTTTTGGTATTAGGGTAATGTTAACTTCATCAAACATGTTTGATAGTATTCATTCTTTCTCATTCTTTTGAAAGATAGGCACTAATTCATTTTTGAACGTTTGGTAGAACTCATTTGTGAAACTGTCTGATCTTGGGCTTCTGTTTCGAGGGATGATTTTGATTACTGTTTCAATTTTGTTGCTTGTAACTAGTTTGTTTAAGTTTTCTCTTTCTATTTTACTCAGTTTTGGATGATGGTAAAGTTCTAGAAATTTGTCCATCTCTTCTAGATTGTTGAAATTGTTTAAATATAAATGTTCATAGTAATCTCTGATTATTCTCTGGATTTTTGCTGTGTCTGTTGTCATTTCTCTTCTTTCATTAATGATCCTAATTATTTACATTTTCTCCCACCTTTTCTTTGTGAGCCTAGAGGTTTGTCTATTTTACATCGGGTCTATTAATATATAGTGGTTTTTCTACTGCCATTTTTCTTTAATTTTCTGTTTCTCCTCTTTTTTCTTGTTTAATTTATTGGGGGACTTATCTGTTACTTTGGAGAGACTTCTAAATATATTTTGTGATGCCCACATCACTCTGATACCCAAAACAGGCAAGGATATCACAAAAAAAGAAAACTACCAACTAGGTCCTGATGAACATAGATGAAAAAGCCCTCAACAAAATCTTAGCAAACCAAATTCAACAACACACTAATACAGTCATACAATATGACTATATCAAACTGTACAGTGAATGAAGCTATCATTTTAAAAAAAAAAAGACATCCTGCCACATGGTAGACTACACGTGCACACCATATATCTGTTAAGGGGCTGATAGCAAAGATCTATGAAATATCCAAGATCTATGAAGAATTGATACAACTCAGCATAATGAAAAATGAAATAAAATAATCAACAGAAAAGCTAATAGACATTTCTTCAATGAAGATTTACATATGGCCAATAGGCACATAGAAAATGCCCATCATCCTTACCATCAGGAAAATAC